ATTATCGACGGCTAGATTAGCTCTTAATTTAATATCACTCTTCGTGAACGTTTTTCACGAGGCAGGAAGACCGGCGGTCGATGTATTTTTATGCCTTTAGAAGTGTGAGAAAATAATGCTCCATGTTCACCGCATCCTTTCAAAGAAAATCGTAGATTTTTCTTACGGACTTGACGCACAGGATTCTTGTTCTTGTAACGCGTTTCGTGCGTGTCCCTGTCGATGATCGTTCTCGGATCATCGTTAAACGCTATGAGAAACGATATAAAAATGCTGGAGGACAGGACAACGTTGCAAGAAGCTTCTTAAACGGCAGAATCCAAGACCACTGTCAGGGTGAAACAAGAGCCAGAAGAACATTCCGGAGAAATGCGTTCACGTGTGAAATAATCGTCGAAGTTTAAAAGAACGTACGACATAGTACGTTCATTCAGGAACTGCAGTTAAGGAATATTGCCTGATGAATGTTTCTCGTATACTTAGGTATCGCCATAGCTATGTCTGTATACCGCCTCGTCCTTTTTTTATTTCATTACATGTTCAAGAGAATCGTGCGTAGGAGAGGAATACACAAGGAGACAGTATCCTGTTCTACGTGAACCGACCAAAACGCATACTCGGGGCAAAGTTTGCTCGAATTCTATGCGAGACTGAAATCATCAGTGATCCGCTGCATCCCTCTCTGCATTGTCACTCGCCGTGGCCGATGCGTACACGCGAGGTGTCCCTGAGTCACGAGAATGTGAATGGACAAATACGTGAAACGTGTGTTCGATGGATCGGTCGCAGATTTTCCCAAGGAGAATGTGCACGAGCTTGCACTTCTCGAGAGGTGGAGAAACAGAGGATCTTCGCTTCGAACCAGCGATGAGAACCTCTCGTATACAGAGCGGCACCTCTCGACGCGTGGAAGAGGACGTCGTCGTCAAATTTAATATTTGAACGATCTTTTGCTATCTGAGAATCTCGTTCGTCAGACTTTTTCCCCATCGACGTTTTCGGAAACGACGTGTCGAGATCAACTATTGACGGATCGATGAAGCCAGAAAGCACATTCTATTAGTCAGATCCATTTCTATTGATACTGTTGCGCATAGTCTTACATTGTTTATCTTAAGATTTTAACACTGTTTACAAGGTAACGTTTTTCATAATAATTGTTCTCGTATCCCTTTTTGTAGTCACTCTACGACGAGTACACTTTGTACGACATGATTCCGTTCGAGAACCCTCGCGAACATAGCGAATACTTTGCTTCGGTTTCCGACGCGAAGAAACTACGAGCGAATAGCCAAAGAGATATGAAAATAGCAAATATGAAACGAGGGTAAAGAGCACAAGGGACGATTGAATTTTTTATCTTTTTCGCGTATCAGTTCCTTCGCACGATGCAACGTCGGTTTACCGCCGAGACCCTTCACAAGTTTCCTTTCTCTCTTTCACGAGATCTTTCGACGCTTGGATTCCACCGATCAGAACGATGATAATATTCGATCGGGAGTACATGTCCTCTCGCGAATCTGAAGATTCTAGTTTTCATCTGAGAAAGTTCTCTCCGTTCAAGGGGAAACGACGTGAATTTTACTTTTCCCGACATCTGTTTATCGATGAACGATCGAATTTGCAGTCACATCGATCCACCCCCTATACTTCAATGCTTTCTTTACGGTCCAGCGATACACGGTTTCAATTTTCCTGTGCTACTTTCCACGGTCTCTTCAAATCGTTTTTAAATCTAGTTCGAAACAAAATGGTCTGTTTCCTTTGATTTATGGTAAATTGTAAATATACCTACTTGCCGTTTTTACGATTGACGCGTACGTCTTTACATATCTTCAGGAAGCATTTATACTTTGATAGCATCGTTCTTTGGAACGTTTCGTTGAATGTTTCGTACGCGGTTCACGCGGGAAACACTAACGCACGATGACAATCCTCCTTATGAGAAACAAAAATTAAAAAAAAAGAGAATGGAAAGAAGAAGTGACGGTTGTAGTACAAAGACGTTTCACAGGAGAACTACGCGAGAGGAGCTCTTGGCTGGGTGAAGAAAAGAATACACGCTTGAATTATCTTTTGCACAGTGGAAGCGCGGGCCGAGGCGGATGTAAAACTCGTCTAAAAATAGGGATCAAGAATACGCGAGAAATTAACGAGAATCGACATTATTTTTCTCGAATTAGAAAATATAAAGAAGACTGATAACAAGCTCGAACGCGAGGAGTTCGAAATTTTCTCATTACCAGCCGATTCTTCGTTTGTTCTCGACGTGATTGCAAGTTCGATTGGAATTGAAACGCGTTTCCGACGGGCCAGCCGCGACAGCTCATCGTACTTACGTTTTCGTTCAGTCGTGCTTTTCCGATTTTGGCCGCACTTGAATATAAAATAAAGGATGGACGAGAGAGGATCGCCCATTTCCTCTCACGAAGTCGCCGTTTTTCAATCGCCAAAGTAGAAGAGACGAAAAAAGGCGAGCAATATTCAAAGGGATGGAAGGAGAAGGGCTCGAAGCGGCGAGCTTTCCGATAAGCTTTTTTCTCAATAACCCGATGGAACTCTTTGACGCTAAAGGGAAGTGCATAGATGTTAAGATACTCTCTGTACGTAACCGTAAAACTATAAACGTGTAAGAGCTATCGTGTATTAAACAATTAATTAATACTGCGATGGAGAAGTAACAATAAACAACAATACATATAACAGTGCGATAGTAAACGACGACAAACCCAAAGAAATTCATAGGCGTCGACGATGTGACTAGGAAGGGCCGAGCGACGGTCCCGGAACGACGGTTCACCTGCCGAAACTCATTTCCGCCGGGATAGACTCTGGTTACAGAAAGTATCAATACGTTCCCTAGTTCCAATTCTGTTCCTTAATTTCCCGATATTTCGACTTTATTAATCAGTATACTAAAACAAACACGGAGTGTCGATACTTTTCGTAATTATTCTCCGTTTCCCGGATCGTCGACGACGCCTTCCTCGACGCTCGGTGTATAGTTAAGAAGAAATAACTTGCGATTAAGGAGCAACCGAATTGCTTGCGTGCGTGACAGCGTGAACGAAACGATAATTCTATAATACGATTACTAATTACGTGTGCGTACGTTCGGTTTCGCGTGTGAACGTGAGAAAAGAGCAACCGTATGCGAGTGAGACGAATGATTGTCGCTCGAGAGTCAGACAAGAGAAATCGTGGATATTTATAAATCTATTAAGTATTGTCATGTATCTGTACGTTTCTTTACTTCCTGCAAAGCGCCGGATAACAGTAAGGTAGTTTAAGAGCACGTGGAAATAAAACGTAAGAAATAAGAAAAAACAGACGAGATGCCATTGCATAGCGTGTGTTACGAGATTAAACGAACGGAAAGGGAAATGGTCGAATCGAGACGTAAATGGGAAACAAAACTGTTAAACGAAAACGATGAAGAGTGGATGAAATGCTTCGCGTCACGGAAAATGGACAATTTCATCACGATTATCATCCTATATAAACGTATAAAAAAAAGTATCGTGAGCTTTTTGCCAAGCTTTTGCGAGGGCGCGGGACGTTCGTGCCAAGCGTCCTGGCGTTCTCGAGAAACGACGAAAACGTAAGAACGTCGGAAACTAATTGTTTCATTTGTAAGCAGCCGTTTGCCATTATACATAATTACAGATTAATTATTCTTACTATTAATTACGGTTCACCGGATCACCGTCATCATCGTTATTATTATTATATAATTGATGTGAGTGTGGAAAAAAAATAAAGTGTACGTAGTAGAATATCTCGTCTGGATTTGCCATTTATCATTTGGATCACTCTTTTCGTGAGTATTTCTTCTCTATCGCGCAACCTCGATTCAAGTATTCGCCTGATGTGAACTCCTTTGAATCGATTTATTTGAATAAAGGGAGATAATACAATGGTACAACTAAATTAAAACGATCTACGATAGTTATATAATAAATAAATGTTTTTTAGACTTTTTCTTTTTTCAAATATTAACATCTCCGTTTTTTATTCTGCAGTTTCAGTATTATCTCGTTGGGCCACTTGCATTTCTATACTTTTCAGGATTCTCTCAGCAGTTTCTCTCTTTGTATCGAGGGTTTGATCATCTTGGACGCTGGCACACGGAGGTAATAATGAATTCGCATCATCTGTTTCTAGAATAGTTTTCTCCGCATTATCTTCCGTTATCAACTCTTCATTTTTCTTCTCCATAATTTCCGATGAATCTGCCGCATCGTCGTTGGTCTCTTGTGGAGACTCTTCTTTTAATAAGTTCATGAAAAATCTCCGACTGTCACCCGGCGACTGAAAACGATATTAACGAAGTTAATAAAAAATGAAATGTATAGCTTGTACGTTAAAATAAAAATTAATTCCAATTACTATCGGTTGTTGCTGACTGCTATTAGCAGAAGATTGTTCGAGCAGCGATTTTCCTTTGGCCATTGCTTCCCTGGAAATTTTCATCAGTTTATCAGCCGACTTTTTAGCCCTTTCCCTCTGCTCGTCGCTTTTCGGAGCGTTTATGCTCTTCAATATTTTGTCTCTCAAAGCTGCGTCCATTTCGATGGAGTCTTCAGCGGCAGCAAGTGGTTCCTCCAGTTCTTCCACGTTCTCTACTTCCGTTGAATCGGCTGAAATTATTTCGATTAATGGACTTGTTTGTGCCCCCTTCGATTGTTTCGTCTCCCTTGGTGACGGAACGTCCCGTTCTTCTTTCTCGAGAGCCACTTTACTCTTCATGAAATCTGGCTCGATCAAAAGTCTCTTTTTGCTGTCCATCCGCTGCAAACGATCGCAAAATTCCTGATACAAATTCGCAGAGGCTTTGTGCAGAGAGTCCTCGTCGATTTTCGATTCTTCCAAGAGTCGTGCAATCGACACGACATCTAAAATAGTATTACGATACGTCGTAATTATATTTGACTAATATTTCTCAATCAAAATTAGGATACATTATATTTCAATACTCACCTGATTCAGGTCTTGTAGCGATTTCCTGATTTTTTACGTTTTGAATATCCAATTTTCCCTCTATTTGTGATGCAGGTTTCTTTTCTGAATCTTCCGGGGTTCGGAAAAGTAAGTTGGAAGTCAGGTTTAAAGCTGAAGAAGTCAGGAAATCCTCCTTCGTGTTCCACGTGCATTTGTCATTCCTATTCGTTATCAAGTTTTCAATGCACTTATCGATTAAAGGCGATTCTTTCTTAACGAACTTCCTCGCCTCTCTCAACATATGTCGTCTACATTTTTCAGCCACTTGACTAGTAGTCTTCGGGCCTTGCATATTTTTCTCGTCGTCCAGTTCTTCGATCAAATGCGATTTTTTACTAACTACATCCATGCATTCATAGTCTCTCGTTCTCTTATGCAATTTCGGAGCATCCTTACTGCCGTTTTGTAAATCGACACTTTTCGAAGCATCGGAAGTATCTTCATCAGTTTTTTCTTTTAAATCTGATTCTTCATTGATCTCCGCTGGTTTCTCATAATTATCAATTACAGTTTTTACAGATTCGTCTGACTCATCATCGGTAGAGTTAATAGGATTTGCGTCCAAGATTTCTATACGAACCGCTTCCTTTTTAACAATTTCTTGATCATTATTCAATTTCGAGTAAGCAGTAGCATTATCAGAAGTGACGTCGTTACTACTGGAAAATCTAAGTGTCTCCTCGACTTCATCTACTTCCTCTATGGCTACTAATTCATGGGAAGCTGTGGATTTTAAGGCTTTCTCGGGTTTCATGTCAGTTCTACTTCTGAGATTTATCTCGTTAAAGAAGGAATTGAAAACGCCCATAGATCTCTTCTCGTCCTTTTCAGTGGACTGACAAAACATAGAAGTGTCTTCACTTTCAGGAGAATCATTCACGTCTTTCAATAAAATTTTAGGACACGTTTTCAAATTTAACAAATCATAAACATTCTGCGACGACGTTTCCCTTTTCTCTTCGTCTTTCTTCGGTACATTCTTCTCCGCAACTTTTTTTATGTTCCGTGATCGAGCCTCTTCTCTCTTTTTCAAGATCTCTCTCACCTTTAATTTTCGCTCCCTGGTATTCCACCATTTCTTATCGTTCTCTTTTTCCTTCGATATCAGCCTCTCGCTTCGTTCGTCAAACTCGATTTCTTTCTCACCCCAGAATCCCTTCACGTCACCGTTCTTAAACACGATTTTGTTGTCCTCCACAAATTTGTCCATGGTCACGCAGAAGTCCTTCATATCCTCTCTGATGGTGCTCAGCTTACTGCTCAGGGGGTGTGGGTCACCTTTTTCGTCGGCATCATCGGTATCCTCTTCCTTCTTGTTTTCATTCGAGTCACGATTCAAAAGATCGCAAGAAACGGACGTGCTCTTGAACGTTGCCTGCTCTTTAACTGAAACGAGAAAGTGATAATTGTTTTCCGTTAATTTAAGAGAAACATTTTGCGACTCGAGCAAAGCGTTTCTTGTCGTATCCGGATTGATCATCCGCTCGTCTCTGGCTTACGGCGCGGTGGGGTAATTTCGGTCTCGTTGCTCGTCTCCAGGACGAGTTCCTCGTAATGGGCCAGATTTCTTCCCAGAGCACTTGGTGGATCACTGACGCTCGTCCGCTCGTCCAAAATCTTCGCATCGGCTGCCTCGTATTCTTTCGTCTCTTCTATCTCCTCGATTAAAAGCCTTTTAGATCCCTCGTTCGATGGAATCTATGAACAAATAAATTATGTACGCATAGTAATTGGAGCAGGAAACTTGTTGTCGATTTAAAGAAAGAAGAAATGTGATAATTCGATGTTTCTTAATTACGACGAGGGAGCGAGAAGTAGAGAAGTACCTCGATTTTCCAGGGTAACAATATTTCCTTGGCAACCTCGCCTTTTCTTCCTTCCTCCGCCACTGGCCTCCTTCCGTCAATTTTCTCGATTTCTTTTTGCGCCGTTCCACCGTTCTCCACCTCTTCGTCCTCGTAATCGGACGCGGAGGAGCTGTTGCCGGAGGACGAGCTGCTGTCCGACTTTTTCTTCTCCTCCAGGTCGAGCTTTGAACGTCCCAACAGGCATGAGCGGGGTTTCGCGTGATGAATGATCAAATAGTGGATGGGACCGATGGGTGATATTATTCGAAGCACGAATTCTGTACCAGACCTTGACAAAACTAGTTCTTACCAGCTCGTTGCTCGCGCAGACAAGCGTGCTCGTGGCCGCTTCTTCGTCCTTCTTCGTCTTCTTCTTATCCTCAGCCTCCTTTTCGGACGTCCCGACCGGTTTGCACAGCTTCCTTTTGTTTATCAGGGCTTTCGAGGGCGGGCATCCACGAGTAAACAGACGGCCATGGATAACAGATTAGATCAATTCGCGGTTCTCGAGATGAGAAAGAATTGTTATAGACGAACAAAATTTGGCAATCAATTCTTTTTTTGCGATCAGGAGACGAAATCATAATTTACGGTTTACTATCGATATTTAATGGGAATTGTAAAAATACTGATTTTTACCTTGCACGCTGTCGTTAATTTTCTTCTGCTCTGCCTCGATCCAACGTCTCCTCTCGGCTGCTTCTTCTTGGGGCCCCCCTCGCATCCTGCCTTCGCGACAGTGCCATTAGCGTGAACATATTATATAAACAGCGCTATCATCTCGCGATTTAACTCGCTCGGATCATCAAAATAAGCCATGACTTACCAAGCTTCGGCACAGGCACGGTCTCTCGGGAACACCGGCCTGTCGTCCAGATACTTGAGATTTATACATTTCAGGATCATAGTTTTACGATAGAGTCTAATCGTCTTCAAGACTGGATTGCCCATCAGCGATACCACACGCAAGTTTTTCATGTCCCCCAGAATCTACAACGTTCACCGTCCATTTTCGACTCGGATCACACAAATGGAACAGACTCGGATGAGTTCTTTCTTCTGATCTCGTCCGACTCGTTCTCAGGCACGAAAAAAAGGAAAAGGGAAAACGGTGTGCGCGACCACTTTCGTAAAACATTGAATTACATCACCGACGGTAGCAACCGTGGTCGAAGCAATGCCAGAGGCGCGCGATTAAGGAAACATAACGGACTCACATTAACGACTTGGTCGGTGTCTATCCTGTTGTGAGAAATATCCAGTACCGCGAGGTTGTCCAGCAATCGGAGATGGTCGATGTCAGCGGTACCTTGTAAGTAGTTGTGCGACAGGTTTAGGCTATTCAGGAACTTCAGGCCATCTGAAAGCGGAGGCACGTCAAGGTCAAGGTCATCAAGGATAACCGGCGTCGACTCGAGTCACCGAGATTCTCGATCCTCCGTATAGTGTTGTGAGAGAGGTTCAGAGTGTCGAGCTTCGCCAGGTAATCGAGGTTCTCGATTTTGCTGATCAAATTGTTGTGCAAATAGAGACACTTGAGCTCCGCTTGGTTCTCCAGGTTCGCGATCTCCCTTATACCGTTGTTCTCCAGCCACAAACACTTCAGACCTGTGTACCTCTGCAGGTTCTCGATGAAAGAGAAACCTGAAAAACGAAACCTTTCTCTATCCGATGAAGTTCATTTTTTTATTTGTTCTACGTCTCGGTTTCTCTCCAAGCTTTTCGTCGAAAAGTTTGCTATGAAAACGATGCGGGAAATGCATTTTCTTTAGCAGCGTTTTTATTGCAAATTTGTAACAGTTCGTGTGTACAATGGAGAAACGTGAAGCGAAATCGCGGTGCCGTCTCCGTGTGAAATTAACCTTTGTAATGGAGATAGAGTACGTCGTTCAAGTGTGGGGTTTGGTAGAGTTTGTTCAGCTTGCAGTGCTTCTTCAGGAATTCCTCGGTCATTCTGAAATCGGATACCGTTTACTTTAACAAACATGAAATTACTGCACCGCAGCGACGTCGTCGTAAGTGCGCTGATAGACTGCGTCGCGCACGAAGCTGTACCTGGTACCGTGTTTCTTCTCGTCGAAATTGTAGACCTTGCCCGGAATGAACGCTCTCTCTGTCTCTTTTCGAAATTCCAGCCAAAAGAGGGAATCCTCCGTGTCGGCGATGATGTCTTGGACGATCCCACTGACCATCTCCGACGATTTCGCGTCGTTAGCTTCAGACTTCTTCTTGAGACTCTCCTGAACAATTTTTTCATTTTTCATCGATTTCGCTTCTTCGTCTTCCCATTCCGTGTTCTCCCTTGGGATCACTTGCAGGCATTCTAGAAGCGATTCCACGCGACATTTCTCTTCTTCCAAGTCTCTCTGATTGTTCTTCGACTTAAAATTCTCAGCTATTTGATCCTTCGTCAGAGGCATTTCAATATTTTCTTTTTCTCTCGTCTCATCCAGACTTTCGTCGGATTCGCTATTGTAGGCGTTGTCGCCGGGCTTCGCTTCGAATTCGACGAGCTTCTCGATCCGATTAAATTCCGCTGATAAATCCTTCAAAGCTTCGTTCTTCCTGTCCTCTATCTTCGCTTTCCCTTCGGCGATTCGTTTCAGCTTTTCCTGAACTTCCTCCTCGCTCTTCGGGTAATCCGGTTCTGTGATTTCCGCTAATCTTTCTAAATATTCCTCCGGAGAACCTAACTCGATGCATCTCGACTCTTTCTCCTCGTTGCTCTTCAATGAACTTTCATTCCCGGTTTCCTCTTGCTCTTCTATCTCATTTATTCTTACGTCGCCCTTTTCGAGAGGTTCTTCAACGATTTCTTCCAGCGTCACGGTATTCGCTTTGCTGTTTGAAAATATCAGATTCGGTCGTTCCAAAGTAGCCTCGAACTTCGGTTCTTTAATGCTGTCCCTAAACCTGAAGTAAGCGGAGATGTTCACGTTGGGAGACGAATAAACCAAATGCCCTTCTTCGTCTTCTTCTGAATCCGTCGAGAACTCGAGATCCTCCGACTCCCTGCGCTCCAGCGTGGACTCTTCGACCTCGTCGCAACTGATGACGACGGAATCAACGATCCGATTCGAGCCGTCGTTCTCGCGACACTCATTTCTATCAGTATCGGCCACGGCTTCGTCGTCAGCGTTCGCCACGGCCGAGACCACGCTTTCGTCCTGTTGACCGAGATCCATCTCGATCATGGATACCTTTCCGGAGAGCGGAGGAAGGACGCCGTCCTCGGACGTTCCATCGAAATCATCGAGCTTCCTCTCGCAAGCTTCCTCGAGCTGGCAGTAAGAATTCGCGCAACAGCTGTCGTTCTCATCCTGTGTCAGCGTCTCGCCCTCCTCAGCGTCGTCGAAGATCAACGTGTCGTCCAAATCGCTGTCGCTGTCCTTCTCGGCTTTGGTCGAGTTGTAGTAAGACAGATTTTCACAACTCACGTCGAAGATCGTGTTGCAGTCGACGTACGACAGCCAGTTGGAATCATCCTCGTTATCGATTTCCGGTATCGACTCCGGCACAGACTTGATCGTCGACGATCGCTGATCTAAGGAGCATTCGGCATGCGGTTCCGCTTCCGCCCTGGTAAAAATGTCCGGCAACGAGCTGGTCAAAACTTGCAGATCCACCGACGACTCTTTCGGGATCTTTGAAAAATAGTAAACGAAGTCGTGATCTCTGTCTTACTTTACGAGCTTGCCAATTTTCAAAGTGAATGAGAGAATCCTAACCGATTTTTTAATCTCAGTTTCCGATAAGTAGGCACTACTTGCCACGGTGTCGAGTCTATCTTCGGCCGAAAGTTTGTTCTCCACGAGCGTGGACTGAAAATCGCAATTCTCCTGCATGTTACCGTCCCGTCTTCCCAAACTTAGCAACGCGCACAAATAAGGAAGTTTGATTCTGAAGCTAAATCCACAGTTTATTAAGAATTTACGGAATCGTATCTCGACATGACCCCTTGAAAATACGAGAAACTCGTTTCAACAACACTTGTTGCCTAGGAACTTGCGCTTGGTCGATACATCTTCGCTGTTTCCCACGCAATTTCAGAGCCCCGCGTTCTGTTCGAACTTCACGGAAAAAGAGTAACAGAAGTCGTCGCATCAGAAGAATTCTTGGCCACGGAAGGATTGCCATAATTTTTTAGAATCTCGGCTGGTATCTATTCGCCATCTCGGTCTTTGTTTCCGTTTTTGCGTCTGGGTGTCCCTCCGGTGGCACTTGTTTTTCCAACTCGGTCCCGACGATGATGATTCGAGGACGAATGCTATCAACATAATTCAGCGGAAAAGGCGCAACGATTCGCAAACATCGTCGCGACGAATCGGGGATCGATGAAGAGCCTTAGTTGCAACGCTTTCAGCGAGCCGACCCGCATCCTCTTTTCTCCCTCAAGGCGATATCCGGTCGTCTACTCACCGAGGCGCGTCGTTCTGTGCCGCTACCCACTCTGTTTTCAACAATTTCGCTTTTCATCTACCTGCGTTCTTTTCGATATTTTAAAACAGGTTCGAGCGAAATGAAAACAAGCGGACAAAATTGTTATTTATGTATTCATTCGGAGGATGCAACGCAGGTTGTTAAGATGGAATTAAATTCCATAATGACTGCACTGGTTCATATAAGGTTTGCATTCCATCATTACAAATAGTCAAAAAATTAGAGAATCGCATTAGTGCGTCATATTCAAGGAGATACGATTTGACTTGATTCTGCTCAGTCGCGTCTCCCTGTTTTTCCTCGTCGCTATTGCGGAAATTAGATACACGATCGACGTTAGACGGCATGCAATCGAACCAGTGACATCTATTCGGTGCACCATGCCAAACAGCACTCATCACATGAAAAGGCAATGAATGCCGCGAATTAGATTAAATTCAGCCGTGAGTCTGATGCGACATTACAGACGTTTAAAAGAGGAGATCGTGTAAGCCAGCAAAATGACTAGAAAATGATTTCGATCATTGTTAATGACGGTGATAATATTTCTTGAACGGTTAACATCTGCTGACACAGAAAGTCGAGAAGGTACAAGGAAATTACACGTGTGTTTGACGTCGTGTAACAGGAGAACTTCTCGTTTTAGCGATAGAAACATGAGCGACATCGACCATTACGTGTAACGAAACCACGCGACGCCTCGGTTTCCGTTATCCGAAGGATAGAAATCGCAATTGTCTCATTGACTTGAGGTAAAAACTATCGAGCATCCAATGAGCGATGAGAGCAATTTCGAGTCGTCTCTCAGCTTTCATGAGTTCGGTGACCATGACCTCGACGATTGAGCGTCTCGCGCTTCTCCTAAACCTAAGCTCCCGATCGTGCATTTGATCGTGCGAAGGATCACCGAGCTGGGATGATTAGAAATAACGGGGATGATCCATGGTGACACATGCGAAGCGGCTGTTGAATTATTAAAAGAGCAGAAAAAACAGAGAACTAAGAGGATTAAAAGACTAGAGAGAGATTAGAATTTCAAGAGCCGGAGCGATAAAAATATTCAACCGTGGTTAAATTTACTTTTCGATCGATATCGACCCGACCTTGATTTCGAAGATCGTTCGAACGTTCTCTCGATTTCCGTCTGTCAGGTGATTGAGAATTTGCCGACAGCGTAGCAACAGGAAATGCCGAGGAACATACGCGGTAGCCTGATAAGAATTGATCACTCTGTTCGATTTTTAGCTCGTACATGATATTCGACATAAAATCGAAGGTAAGATCATTTTTGAAAATCAGGCAAGGAGGAAAAAAGCAATGATTTCGTAAATGAATATCGATCTTTATAAAGGATTTGAAATTTGAGTCTATAGAAAATGTGGACGCACGATCTCTTCAAATCGAAATTCGACCAAAAACTATTCATGGCCGATCAAACGTATTCAAATTCTATTCCTCTTCTACGATGGTGATCCTTAATTCTCAAGGAGAAGTTGGTCACCCACTGCTATTTTGCTTTTCAAAAAAAAAAGAAGCCACGGATAGAGAAGATGACAATGGCGAGAGGAAGGAAAGGGAAGTTGTCAATTACATAATGCATTTGGATTCGTGGCTGATCGATTGACCGTCTCCAATGTCCGTTCCCTAGCTACACGAAACGTGAATCTTGGTGTGCGTGATGAGCGGAGCGATCCTCGAGGTCATGGTCACGCCGCGTCTCGCAGACTTCGAATTTAGCCGCTGTCAGAAGGCGTTAACTCTTTTTCATCCGAACACTTGATACTGCCTTTGAATTTATTCGTACCAACGATCGTCGTAACGAGGATATTTTGAAACGATGCCTAGTCGATCGATTACACAGCTTAATTTCACATCAGCTGATTAAGCACTCGCGTAATTGTTGTTATGATTAAATATTATTTGTATTAATTCCAAGGCTCGGTTTTTGGTTTTGCAACGAGAAATGAAGCAATTCCAGCGTGGCATGCACGAGGTTGCTCCAGCAAAGGGAGTCGTTCGTTCCCTTTCGCCTGGATCTTATGCAACCGCAGTTTCACGTTAGACACGGATAAGGTGGAAAAGATCGGAGCCATCCACGTGTTTCGTAGACAACTATATCGACGATTCGTCGCGCGGTATGTACACGCTAGAAGCAGCATGACGAAAAACCCAATTAGCAAGTATAATCGGACATCAGCTGACCTATGACAACGTAACCCTGTCATCATACTAAGGGCATGGCGCAATTTTGGTATAAAATTATCGCCCGTGTCCCGTGGACGCACGCGTCGCGTCGGATCAGCAAGTATAATCAACTATCAGCCGACCTATGACAACGTGTCATCCGAAAAATTCGTCTATTTATGTACTTTGTAGGCCAAGGGAAGCTTCCTCTGTCGAAACGTGTACCTGAAAACTTTCAGAGGACCGACAAATTTTGCTCGTAATCGAATTAACCGTTGCGACAGAATGAGATTCATTCGACGTTGACATTAAACATTTATTTATCGCGTTGTTTATTAATCATAAACAACAGGATTTTAGCATTGGCGTGAAGCAATAGACATAGTAGGATTATACGCGTATATTACAGGTGGATTGCAGATTTTTATAAAATAAAACGTTTGTCGTGTGAATATACATTTTTATCTTACATAGAATTTTTTAATAAATGCATAAAATCCGCGGTCTAAATTTGAAAAGCCCGTTAGAAAATACATAAATAATTGATATGAAACGTGGGAAAAGAGAAGGGCAGGTTGCAACACGAGACTTCCGATACGTTTATTGTTTTATAGATTTTCACCGATTCCACTGTGATGTAGGCAACCATAAATTGCATCGGCTGCGAGCTTTCCATAAATTTGAATAACATTTTCACTTCCTGCGCTACCGCGTGGACGGACCCCCACCAATCTCGGTTGCTACGTACAAATGTGAGCAACGATAAGCTCGTCGCGGTGACCTCGCCCTTAGAAGGAAGGATTCTGCATTCTATTCACCCGAATCCGGCATACTATTATCATTCCCGTATCTATTGTTCGTTCCACAGCTACTTCTTACCCCTTTTTTTCCCACTTGGACTCTGTTATTCTCATTTGTCAAATTTTCTGGCGTTTTAACGAGCAACCTAGAATGCATTTTCCTTCCCAATTTCCTCCCCTTTCGTCCCTTGTAAAAAACGACCGAATTTTTATCACCTCGATCCTACATTTGCCAAATTTTTAAATGTCTGTTAATAAAAAAGTAGCAAAAGTGCGTTAGATTGCATTTTTTCCTCTTTCTTTTCGTAAAACGATATCATCGGAACACGTCTTGCAACCTGATAGTACTTTCCATGGTTCCTGGTAAGGCGAATTTGGAAAGTTGTAGCGTTCGCAGAAATCATACGGAAACGGTCATAAATTCTGGTTTTCGAAATACCGTTTCGCATTCTAATCGATGTCCTGACAAAAATTCTTCTACGACGCATCGACCGGGCAGATTTGCAAGTCGATCATCGAGAAAAATCTGCGAACACGTGGATCACCTCTCCTCCTTCCCCTCCACGCCCTCTCGAATTGCTTCTCGTTCATTCATGCGATGTTTGAAACGATAGAGTCGAGTAATTAAATCTGTTAAGGATGTATTGGCTATACAGTCAATCCCAAAAGTTTATGTACCTTAGAAA